AAAGGAGATGGGGGGGAAGGGAGGGGAGGAACAGCCCCTCCACACCAATAGCCCGGCAGGGGGACGTGAGTAATACATGGCTGGTTCAGAGGGAGTGAGATCAAAAGCGAGTAGATACAAGAGGTTTGTGCTTCACCGACCAGACAGCCAGAGGCTCAATGAGACCTTTGTTACCCAGGCCCAAGTCAGGGTTGAAGGAATACCTGACCTCCCCCGCCGGCCCAGCCCACCCTCACCCTACCGGCCACCGGGCTGGGGGAGGGGCGAGCCAGGCCTTCTCAGTGAGTCAAGTGGAGTTGGGCACCGCTCAGACCCGGGCTGGTGGGCGGGAAGAAGGAGGAGGCCTGCCCTCGCTGGGCGTGGAGCTTCTGGGGGTAAGTGGAGGAGTGAGTGGCTGCCTGGAAGGCAGGGAGACTGCCAGGGCCAGGGGGCCCGCCAGGTGAGCCGTCCCTTGGACCCCGGCCCCAGTGGCCCTTGGGAGGGGACCGAGGGCATTCTGCTTGGAGCCCGCGGTTCTTTGCAGGTCCTGAGTCTGGGATGTGGGGGCCCACGGGAGAGGGAGGCAAGGGAGAACCAGAGGTTTCTGGGGTTGGGGCGGGTGACCAGAAGTTCAGGGACGTTGGAGGGTGTCCAGCTGTTTGGCGGTAGGTTGGATAAGACGTGTGTGTGTGAATGTGCGCACACACCCTGTTGCTGCTGGAGTGTGGGAAGCCCAGTTAAAGGAGGTCGGTCCAGCTGGAGTCCTGAAGAGAACAGTGAGCCTGCCCCTGGGGCGAAGGACCCAGCTGCTCCCTGGCAGGGACATGGCCTGATGTGGGCCTAAGACCTCTGATTTTCTCCTTGGGGTCTCAAATCCCCTGAGGCTTCCTGAAACCTGGAGTCCCCTGAACTCCTGTCCCCCAAGGCTGATGCTTGCCCACAACTGACCCATCATGGGAGAGGGAATTAGGAGACAGTCCTTATGTTTACAGCACGTCTTTTCCAGGGTCCTGAGACCTTGGTTCCCCTCCACTCAGCTCTGCCCTGAGCTCCGGCCGTGCCTGTGTATATCCTGTCAACGAGAGAGGGAGAGCACCAAGCACCCGCTCCCACAGCATCGCCCAGGGATGGGTCCAAAGCAGGCCGCCCTCAGCTGGTGGGGATTTCAAGTTCCGGCCCTTTTCCTGCCTCCACCTGGGTCTGAAAAGAAGGCCCTGCTTTCCTCTAAACCACATGAGAACAGGTATAGTTGTAGTCACGCTGACCACTCGAGGCAGTGTGGGCCAGCCCCCCACCTTGGGGGTGCTCAAGAAACTTGTTCACCCCTCTAAAGAATAGAACCTCTGGTTCTCCTTTGCCTTCCATTCCCGGGGGCCCCCAAAGCCCACACTCAGGCCTTTATCTTACCTCTCCTTTACCCACACCCTCCTTTGCCCTCTCTGCTTCCTGTGGTTGGACTAGGAAGGGTTAAGCTTTGTAAGGAGAGAGTCTAATATGGGGCTGGCCCTGGGCACTGGCTGCAGTATCATTGAAAAGATCCGGCCTTACTGTCTCTCTCTGGGAGGGGGTAGTTAAGGACCCGGAGCAGGGGGCTGGAGGCTAATTAAGGGAATTTGAGGAGGTCCTTTATGGCCAGGAAGCTACCCCTCCTCATACCCCGGAGTGAGGCCCATTGTGTGGGGACTTTGTGGGGCCAGAACTGGAAACTCATTACTGGGAAGGCTTTAATGCTGGGGCCAGGGCAGGTGGTGGGGGATGGTGAGAGAATGTAACCTGGGGGGCCCAGTACCTCGAGGGTGGCAGTGTGGGTGGGAAGGGTTGGTGGGAAGAGGAGGGAGGGCTCCCCAGGTACCCCCAGCTCCCCGCATCCTTTTGAGATTCCCACCGCTGGACCCCCTCAGCTCTGCTGTGGCCTATGGCTTTTCATTCCTATGTGATTGCTGTTTCTAATTCATGTAGGGCTAAAAGCCATGGGCTACAGTGAGGGGCGTGCTCCTTCTGAGATCTGCACCTCCCTCCCCACAGGACCAGGCTGGGAGCCAGCCACAAAGGGGGCACCAGGAGAGGTTTCCACTTGGGGATGGGGCCTGCAGGGGATCTGGTAACCTGGGGTCTGGGGCCAAGGCTGTGTGAGCTGGGCCAAGTCACTTCCCCTCTCTGGGCCTGGTCTCTCACTCTGAAATGAAGAGGCTGAACTGGTGATTCCAGAGGGAGATTCCTTCTGAGGATGGAGACACATTCAGGGGGTGCTGAGGTCTGTAAGTTGGTTTCCTCCCCCCCACCCCCTTGCCATGTTGAGGACTGGCTCATGCTCAGAGATTTGGGGGCTAGAGTCAAGGGCATGGGACCACACAGCCCTCCGGCCTTCACTCGGTGCCCCCAGGACAGCCTGTGCTTCTCGGCCTTGCTCACTTCTCTGTGGTCAACTCGGAATCCACAGCCTTCTCTGTGTAAGAGAGACCTCGGGACTTCTCAGTGGTTGAAACGGGAGAACTCAGGCCGGCCACTCAGGGAGAGGAAGTTCAGTAGCGTGAAACTAGGAAGGGAGCCTCTCCCCGTGGGCTGTGACGTGGAGTCCGGGGTTGCTAGCTCCTGGTCTGCTACCCCATCCTGGCATTTGTCACCCTCTCCCCGGATCTGTGAACAGTACCTCCTCTCCCTATCCCGCACCGTCTGCCACTCACCTTGCCTGACTCCCCAGGCCCTTCTCCCTCTCCAGTTCCTGTCCTACCCCCTAACTCCCATGCAGATCTGCATCTGCCTAACTCCAACCCAGCCCTCCTGGAAGGCTCCAGCTGATGGAAATACAGCGGGCAATCTGGCTGGAGCAGCCGTGGAAGCACCCTCGCCCTCCCCTCCAAGCCCCCCAGTCTGTCTAAGACAGACCACTAAAGAATCAGAGGGTACGGTAGTTGGTGTTGAGAACCAGGAGGCAAGTTACTTACAATGTCTCGGAGCCCTTCATCTCCCTGGCCAGCATTCGCCTAGTGTTGGCTCTGTGCCAGGCAAGACTCTATCCGTCTTACCTGTGCTCATTTAATCCTGGAAACAACTCTTAAGAACAAAGTACTATGATTATCCCATTTTACTTTGGGAGATCTGAGGCAGAAGGGAGCCAAGAAACGAGCCCGAGTTCATAGGGCTAGTAAGGGGCAGAGGCAGCGATTTGAACCTGGATTCTTACCACATCGTGCTGGATGTGGGGAGAGCCAACAAGGTGGCACGGGAGAGCACTCTGGAAGCTGGAAAGTGCTGGATGCATGTCCACAAACTGGCTCCGTGGCCCAACTCTAACCATCCTTTGTCCATCGCTGGTTTTCCTTTTCCAGCAACAGCAGAGGGGGAGAAAATCAAAACAATAGGAGAAGCAAAGAGAAAGCCCAAGCCAGCTGGGTTTTTGCTGGGGCTGCTCCAAGCCACTTCCCCTCTCGCCCCAGCTTCGGTGGTGCAAGGAACAGGGATGAGACTTGCCAGGCTTTCTCACTTTCCCTCTGGGTCCTCTTGCCCAGAGATCAGAGGTGGCTACCACCTTTCCCCACCTCCCTCCTCATCCAGCTGCCCCTGGCTCCGAATGAGCCTATCCTCTGTTCCTTCCTCTGTGCGAGGACATCCAGGCACCCGACTTACTCCCCTTAGCTTCGGGATCTAATGGGCAAGTCAGGTTGGAACAGCGCCCCCTTCCTGTCTCTGCAACTGGGTCCCTCACAGGAATCCTGTTGCACGGTTTGCCAGGGAGTCCCCCGCAATGGGCTGGGCCTAGAGGAAGGGAACAGGGGACCATGCCAGATTTTACCTCCGAAAAGCTCCAGCAAGGCAAGGCTCTGAGGAGCCGCTGCTGGGTACACGTTTGTCCAATGAATTGTGAACTGGGAGAAAAGGCGGGTGGGGTAAAAGCAGTAAATTGCCACAAACAGGGACACAGAGCAAGCCCACCCTTCCTGGGCCTGGGCCTAGGGTGCTTCTGGGGTTACAAGGTTGCAGCTTGTGTCTGTTCTTTGCCTCTTGGCCACTGCCAGTGGTGCGGGCCTGGCAGAGATATGTAATTATATGTTTCACATAATTGTTAAACTGCATTGAATAGGCAAGCTGGCCTCATGCCCTTTCTCCCTGGAGGATTCACGGATCAGAGGGCTGCATCTATCCTGTTCCCTGCCTGCAGACAGCTGAAACCAAAAATATTCTGAACCTCAGTCTTTTTCACAGTCCTCAGAGCTACCCCAGTATAAGCCCTCCCCCTTTGAGAGCGTGGGCCCACACTTAACAACACAGATTCAAGTGAATCTCTCCGGTTGTATTTGCCCTGTTTTTAGTGGAAGTGGAGTTTCACTGCTAAAAGTCTGCTCCTTTTAAGCGCAGACTATTGAAAGAAAAAATCTCTGTCCCATCATTAGAAGGGGATAGCACGGACCATTGGCCTCTGGAAGACCTTCTAGCACTGATAGCCTGGACCACCGCGTTCCCAGCTCTGCTTCCGATGACTCTTTAGATAGGCCAGCCTCTGCCAAGCGGTGGGCCTCCTGGAAGGCCCAGGGCATAAAAACACATCAAGACTGTTAGTGCCCTGACCCTTCCAGCTCCCATGGCGCCTGAGTCCCCCGGAAGCATCGGTGAATGCCTGTTTGTCCTAGTAGTCTCGGAAAGGTGGGAGGAGCGTCCCCGCTTTCTCCATAGGTGGGCAAGCGAGAAATGAGGGGGGCTGGCCCGGAAGCCCTCGAAGGCAGAGAGGACCTTGGCTCCAGATTCCAAGGAGTTCAGTCAGCCAGAGGCTGGAAGTCAGTCTCAAGCAGGCCAAGAAGGAGTTAACCTCCAAGGAGAATGAGGGCTTCTCCCAGACCGGAGGCCTGTGCCCAGCTTCGCCTCTGCCAACTCCGGGAAGAAGTCCTGGGATCTGTAGTTTGTGCCACCACCCACCCCTGGCCTGCCTGTTTATCAACAACGTCTTGGGGACTACAGTTCCCAGAAACCTGCAGAGGCCAGGCTTTGGGGGAAGGGGTGGGGTGTGAGGCTCGGTGGCAGCAGGAGGGAGAGGGAGGAGGTGGGGAGAGAAAACCCAATTCACCCCCTTCCTTTTTAATTCTTTCTCCTGGTGTGTCTGCTCCACCGCCCGAGCTAATCCCCCAAATCCGGTCTCCTAAGCCGCAGCTGCTTTCCTTCGCAGTGATGAATGGCTCGGGGAGGGAAGGTGAATTCATATTTTAATTACTGAGGCGCGGTGCTAAGGGGCGCTGGGGAGGGGGCGGGGGTTCAGCATTGTTCTGGAGGCGCGCTGGGTCACTTCTCCTTTGCCCTTTACCTGGGGTGGGGGTGGGGCAGAGTGAGGCTGCGGGGCGCCTTCTCCGCCGCCACTCTGCTTCTGCTTTGGGAGGTGAGGTGAGGGGGGTGGGAGGGAAGACCTCTCTCTCCCTTCTTTTTTGTTTGGCAGAGGATTCCAGGCATGTCCCAACACTTGTAAATATCACCCTACCCTTCCAGCCCCCACTGCCGTCCACTTTGGTGGAGGACATTGCCCAAATCCGAGGCACTTAGGAGTTCCTGGTCTGCCAGCATGAAGCCGTGGCTGTCTCCTCCCCTAGTGTCTAGCTTGCTCTGGGACCCTCTCTGTCTTGGTCCCTCCAACGTGTTCAAGCCGTCTCTGACCCACTGTCCCAGTTTGGCTGGAGGTGCTAGGGTTGCCCCCCCCCCCCCCCCCCCCCCCGGGAGGGTGCCTGGTATAGAGAGGAGAAGCAGGGTTGAGGGACAGGGGAAGGGGTCAACAGGAAGGCTGGGAACCCCCTGGTGGTTGGGGATGATGAGCTGTAGGTTCACACCTCTGCTCGGCTCCGCCAAGCAGAGGCTCTTTCTCGCCTCCATACCCCAGATCATCTCAGATCTGAGCTGGGGACAAAGGCCAGAGAGGCGGATGGGGAATACATCCAAGCCACCAGCTTGCAGTCAGATGCAGCCAACTGTGAGTTAGCGGGGGGATCTGTCCTGTGTCCACCTTCCTTTCCTTCCTATGCTGAGTTGATGGGGGCCATCTTTCTATCCCTTAGCCTCTCCTGGGCTAGAGGCATGGAAGCTGAGGCCGGAGGGGAAGCTGCAGGATGGGAGGGGAAGTTTCCATCACGAACACAGTTAAGTAGGGGCTGCCTCCAGGCGCTGGTCCACTTGCTTCATTGAAACTCTGCACTCTGCCCATTTCAGACACTCAAAACCCTTTCTCCTCAAGTAGACAGAGCAGGAGGAAGTTCATCAGGACCTACCTTTTCCAGGAAGCCCTCCTGTTGGTGCTGAGACACTCCGCAAAGTGTGAAGGGATCAAGGCAGTGTGGGCCAAGCAGAGAGAGACGTGGAGGCACAGCCCCGACAGCTCCCCAGGTACCTGCCAGCAGTGCAGAGGGATCCTGAAGGCTGAGTGGGACCCCGAGCAGGAGAGATAACCCTGGAATGGGAAGGCATTCTCTACTCCACAGCTCCCCACTTTGGGGACCGGCCCAGGGACCTGTATCATGCACAGAGCCCAGACTGCTTTCAGGGTTTGTAGTCCCACTCCTTATAGGGAAGACGACCTTGTCAGGCCCTGGTAGGGAAGGCAGAGGACAATCAGAGCACTTTATATATCAAGTATATATATCGGCTTCATCCAACCCTCTGGAAACTCTGATGTGTAGGTCCTGGTTCCTCCAACCTCTAGCCCCAAACTTCCCTACAGTTAGCAAAAAAAGGCAGGATTTTCTCATCTCTCCCAAAGGACCTTGGGGAGGAACAGTCACTTCTGAAGTGTATTTACTTATTTTGAGAGAGAGAGAGAGAGAGAGAGAGAGAGAGAACACGCGCGTGCGTGTGCACAAGCAAGGGAGGGGCCAAGAGGGAGGGAGAGAGAGAATCCTCAGCGGGCTCCACACTGTTCAGTGCAGAGCCTGACTCTGGGCTTGGACGCACGAACCGTGAGATCGTGACCTGAGCGGAAGTCAAGAGTTGGATGCTTAACCAACTGAACTACCCAGGCACCCCCACTTTTACTGTTTTTTTTGGAAAGAGCAGACATTGGAGGGGAAGTATGGTAGGGAGAAAAGAGTATCTATGCACCTTGGGGCCAGAGACCCTGAGCTGCGCCTGGACCCGGGCTTGGGGTGGGAGAGTCATGGTCAAAGCGACTTGCCTGGCTTGTTTTAACTACGAATTCCTTCCCCAGATCAGCTTTGTTGTGCCTACTGATTTCTCCCCACGTATTTTTTTCCTGTAATGGAGGAAATGCTGTGTTGATAGTACCCTTGACATACATCCCCCTAAGCAAAGGAAGTGGATGCATTACAATTACTGATTACAAGGAAACCCAACTGTCTCCCTCCCGTCTTCCTGATCAGACCAGGATTTCTAGTGCTCTTCTGGCCCTTTAGGTAACCTCTTGGTACACTGAAATGAGGAAGTGAAAGCCCAGAGAGGCACAGCCACTTGCCGGGGTGACACAGCATGCCGGCGTCAGAGCCAAGAATAGAGCCCAGGCCATCTAAGCCCCAGTTTAGATCCCAGTCTCTCTAGGTTTGTCACGGGAGGGATCCAGAGATAGCTGCAGGAGATAGATCTAGAAATATGGTAGTTGCGTCCCGGCTCTGTCTATATATATCCTGGAGATTGCTCTCTGCTCTCTATATATACTCCAGGAGAGTGGGTATGTGGAGGATGCTGGAAATCGGGTGATTAAATGGCCAGTCTACCTACCCATGCTGACTCAGGCTGGGCCTCCTGCCCACCCAGCTGGCCATTGGAAATGCACTGCACCTATTAATTACAGTCATTAGCTGTATTACCAGGACACTTGGAGGGTAAGGGAGGGGAGAATCCTGACGGGACCCAGCTCCGCTGTGGGCACCGTGCTTGGTGAGGGCCTGCCAGCCGGGGCCTTCTGCTCAGCCTGCGGAAACTCGAAGCTTGTCCAAAGGAGCAAAGTTGGCCAAACCTGTGGAACTGTCCAGAGAGCCGTCGCCTGGGCCTTGCCAGGTTCCTCAAATACAGGGGGGACCATTTGCAGGTGTGTTTAGTGTTTGCAACCTGGGACACCCGATGCAGGGCCGGGCCGGGGACATGCCTCACGCTTCCTGATTCCTGACTTCGGCATAGCCCCACACCTCCCTCCTTCCTCTCAGCATTTGGGCTGCCCCCCAAATTCTTTCTAAAGAGAACAATGATCCAAACAAGGCCTAGGATGGGAGCCTGATCTCCATGCAAAGTGCTCTCTTGGTGCCCAGCTGCTCTGCTTCGGCCGACTTGAGTATACATCTGCTCCCTCCGGGGCAGGCTAGGGGCAGAGGAAGGGCAGAGAAGCAAGCTGGAGGACTCTGCAGACTGGGTACCCACCTCCTGAAGCCCGCTCCCAGCCCTAGCCAGACTGCCCCCACTCCCAGAGGTGCGCCCGCCTCCAGTGCTGGGTGCCTGGGCACCGTGTCAGCCAGGAGTGGAGATAACATGCCGAGCCGGGGCGAACCCAGCCTCAGCCTCTCTCTCAGCCTTACTTTCCTGCCAGGGAAGAAACTATATCTTTACCCTTATGTACCTACCTCCCCACCCCGTTGCCCAGCATAGCTGCTCAATAAAATAGCCTGTTGGCTAAAAGAATTCTCCGCTGTCTGTTCTCTGCACAAGGAGGACCGGGATTTGTGCTGCTCTGAGCAAAGAAAGTCCATTCTGTTTTCTATAGGTTTCCTGAAGGGTATTAAGCAGATGGGGGCTGTGAGGAAAGGGGGGGGGGACCCCGTGACTCAGTTCCAGGTGTCAAGGTCAAGGCTGTTGGATGCAGGCCCACAAAGTCCCGCATTTGTTTGTTTGTTTTTTAACGTTTTTATTTATTTTTGAGACAGAGAGAGACAGAACATGAACGGGGAGGGGCAGAGAGAGAGGGAGACACAGAATCGGAAGCAGGCTCCAGGCTCTGAGCCATCAGCCCAGAGCCCGACGCGGGGCTCGAACTCACGGACCGTGAGATGGTGACCTGAGCTGAAGTCGGATGCTTAACCGACTGAGCCACCCAGGCGCCCCCAAAGTCCCGCATTTGGATCATTGGACTGTGTGACCTAGAGGAGCGAATGGAAGCCCCCACCCCTAACCCGGCTCAGGTGGCGCGGAGGGCCGGCTTGCTTCCTGTTCCCCAACCACAGGTGTGTGGTGGTGAGGTGAGGCAGAGCGGGCAGGAGAGGAACAAAGGCAGCAGTAGCTGGGGCTCCCTTTTCCCCACCCAGGACTCACCCAGGCTCCGATTTGAGGAATGACATCAGCTCCACAGAGATCCGGAAATGCTGAACTTTTCACAGAGGCTGTTTGTTTGATGCCTGTCCCAGCCCCACCCCCACCCCCACCCCCACCCCCCCAACCTGTGTGAGAGGTTTGGCAGGGCCTGGCAGGCTCAGGGAGTGGTGGTGGCTGGCCAGATCCGGAGGGCTCTGGGACTGTTAACCCCAGCTTACATCTCTCTCTCTCTCTCTCTCTCTCTCTCTCTCTCTCCTCCTTCCTCCTGCCCCTCTTCCTCCCCTGCCTCTCCCTGCAGATCTTCTCCGGTGAGCATCCCCCCAGCCTGGCCCAGGGCATGCCCCAGTTCACTTTTGCCTGCTTCTGTGGCCTCCACGGCTTCTGCAAGATGAAGAGGAAGAAGGAGGAAGTTCACAGACAGCGGGAAACGGCCGTGTGAGCTGGACCGGGGCCCCTTCTGCAGCCTCCAGCAGGTTCCAGGCCTGAGGGCGCGCCCACATCTGGAAGGACCCACCTGGCCTTCTGGAGACCGGGAGACCGAGAAGCCTCGGGGCAGCCCCAGGAGCGAAACTTCTTTCCTGCCCTCAGGGCTCCAAGCCCTCCACTCAGGGTGACTCTTCGGCTGAGGGATGTGCCGCCTTGGTGGGCTAGGAGCGCTGCTCCTGGATGGGAAACTGGACCTCCCAGCAGCCCCCACGCCGGGGGAGGCCTCAGGCAGGCCGGGCCGAGTGGCGGTGTAAGAGGAGCCCCCCTCCAAAGCCAGGATGCAGTCTCTCCTGGGAGCCCGGGACTTGAGGCAGGAGCCTCTCCGGAGGAGCATCCCTGAGAGAGGGGTCCTTTCCTGTCCCCTCCCAGCGTTCTCCTGGGCCAGGTGGAGCCAGGACCAAGGCGGGCAGCCAGGTTGGGAGTCAGATGGCAGAGTCGGGACAGTGAGAGGCAGGCAACGTCCTCACGGCAGGAGGCCAGCTCGGTGTCCCCTGGGCGCCTCCCTCTCCCACACTCCAGAAGGCAGCTTTCTCTCCAGGCCTGGCCTCGCAGACCCTCTGACCCCTGTCACGCCTCCTTGCAGCACCACAGATGTGGGGGCCTGTTTCCCAGGCCCCGACTCCCCTTCTTGGGAACTGTCATCCAGGACCAGACTGTGGGGCCCCCTTCCTGGACTGTGCCGTGTCCTCCCTTTATTCTCCTGTCTCCTCGCCTCGCCCACCTGCCTCTACTTTCTCTTCTCAGAAGCCATAGAGAGGGAAGGGCTTGCATGTTGTGCCTTTGGGGGAAACGGGGTAGAGGGACCCTCTAGGACCTGCCTTGCCTTTTCCCCCTAATCTCTCCACTAACCTCAATCTTCCAGGGTCAGTCTCAGCCCCCTCTCCCAGCCTATTTCCAGCCGGTAAGAAGCAGACAAACCCCCCTTTCCTTCTTCCTTCCTTCCCTCCTCCCTCCTCCCATGTGATCTAACTTACCCTTCTGTCACGGTGCCCGAACCTCTCGGGTGCTAGAGGGTCACACGGGCAGCAATGGTAGTGGCAGAGACACTTTGGGCAGATTCTGTAGCTTTAGCAAGTCTGCCCTCTCCTTCAGCACAGAAAAGGTCGGCCCAGGAACAAAGTCAGAGGCCCGGTAGCCTCTGGGGACAGAATATTCTTTCTGACAGTTAACAGGTGGGCTGGGGAGAGGAGGTCAGGACCCCAGGACTGAAGGTGGGGCTGTGTGCCCTTTTCCTTGGAATGTGCCTCTCTGGGCAGTCAGGGAGGGCAGAAGACCACCTGTGCTGGTTCATCCGGAACCTGGGAGAAGCAAAGGCACATTCTGTCCTCGCAGCTTTTCTTTGCCTGTCCAGCTCATGCCCCATGCTCAGGGGCCTTTCCTGAGCTTCCGGCAGATTTGGTGGGAGACAGGTCATCTTTGTGAAGCCACAGCACCGCTTACGATCCCTCTCCTCCCATCCTCCAACCACCTCCTTTGCCCCTAGCACCCAGCCCCAGACCTGTACAATCTGTTAGTTCCTTTTATATCCAAAGAACTATAAACAGAAGTCCTTCCCTCAAGGAAACAGCAATAAAGGCCAGTGGGGTCACAAGGGACAGAGGAAAAGCTCCCCGGTTATTTGGCCTCTTGGACGGTAGAGGCCTTGGAAGAGGCAGAGACGGGCAGAAAACGCTTTCAAGGGTACCTTGATCAGGCGGCAGGGGAGCCCGCCTGGAGGGCATGTGTGTCCCTAGCGGTGGCCTGTGAGGCTGCAGGCCTAGAGAAGCCACTCTTGCGGTGGAGGATGAAATTGTATCCCTGGAACCTCAGAGGTGTTGGGTGTTAGGTCCTGACCACATGGGCTCACCCGGAGGAAAGGTCAGGAGAGGTGGCGAAGGACGGTTTTGCCCCTGCGTACCTCTCGGGGCTCAGCAGCGATGTCCGCTGCAGGGGTCTGGCAGTAAGCCCGTCCAGAGAGCTTCTTCCCCCCGGGGAGAACTCCTTTGACTCCAAAGGGATACCGGATATCTGGAGCCCCTGCTACGGGAGCATGGGAGAGGTCCCAAGGTCAGGGCATCACTGGTCTGAGTGGAGGGCTAGCCGTGCCTGCAGACGGCAGCCCGTGGCCCCTCCTTCATCCAGGGTGAAGGTGGGGGCAAATGCCTTGCTGAGTAGGAGGCGGCAACAGCTTTGAGCTAGACCCACCCCTCGTCCCACCGTCCCTCGGTCTCCTTCTCAGGGAAATGGTGACTTGGCTCCTCTCAGCGCCTGGAGCCGATCTGGAGACCTGTGCCTGCCCGTCTGCCTCTGGGTGAGCCCAGGGGAGAGGTTTCATCCAAAAATGCAGAAGCAGCCCTCGTGTCCACAGACCGTGCGCCCCAGGCCTCTGGCTCACAGTCCGGGCTTCTCTTCCTTCTGTTTCTTTTGGGGCATCGAGGTCTGGCCACCCCATTTATTGCCCTGCCCTGAGGCTCCTCCCCAGGGGACAGGTTGGACCATTTTGCCCTCCCCGTTCCTAATTCCCTCCACCCCACAGTTCTCTCCCAGACTCTACCTTGAGGAGGGGGACGGGAACTCCTGGGTGGAGGAAAGGGGCACAAAAGTCAATGGTTCTGGAAGGAGGCGAGCCTCTCCTTCTTGCTGTGTGGCACTGAGTCCTTGCTGGAGGGCGGGAGGCCCTGGCCTCCCTGGGCCTCAGTTTTCCCCTCTTGTGCTGCGGGCTGTTGAATGGGTGATAAAGAAACGTGAGGGGTGCATGAGGTTCTTGTGACTCGAATGTTGTCTGGGGCCGGGCCCTAGGGACCCCGAGGGGCTTCTTGAAGTCTTTTATTTTATTTTATTTTATTTTTGTAGAATATCATTTCCTTCTCCACTCCCAGGGAAGGGCTTTTTGGATGTCGCAGGAGTCAACAGAAATATATACAGAGATTGTTATTTTTGAAACAAATAAAAAGAGCAATAATTTAACTGAAATATGCACGAAGTACCACAGTGGATGCAAAGGGCATTGAGCTGGGAACCAGATCTCCTGGGTTCCGGCCCTGCTGCCTAGACACTGATGACAGTGTGATCTTAGGCTAATCATGTCCTATTTCTGGGACTCAGTCTCCTCCCACCAACGCCCTCTAAGTACCCCCCATCAGAGGCCAGGACTCTGTGGCCCTGGGCAGTCGAGCCTCAGTGAGGCTCAGGGCCGAGGAGGCACAGGGGTTGTAGTCTCCTGGGCTCTGTGTCTGCAGCTCCGTGTGGGGAGGGCTGGTGGAAGCCGTACGGCAGGTCTAGGCAATGGCGAGGGTGGTGAGAGGGACAGCCAAGGCACCCATAGCTTCCGCTCGAACCCTCCCCCAGGGCCCCGAGCAGTTCTGCCTCTCCTCCTTCCTGCAGCCGGGCCTGTCTAGGCCACCTCAGGTGCCCCTTTTGTGCACATTCTCTTACACACACACACTCCACCCCTGGCAGATGGGATCTCAGAGGACCAGCTCGGGGTCCTGGCTCTGTAACCCATGGGCTCCCCTCTACCCAGCTGCTGGTGAGCCCGTCTCCAAGCTGCTCGAACCACCCCACCTCACTACCTTGCCTTCTGCAAGGGGAAGTCAGGCTGCAATCTGCCCGGCCTACAGAATGAATGTGCATTTCTCCGGTGGGTTGGGATGTGCCCGTGGTGGGATGGGCTGATGACTGGCCATCGTTGGATGGAGAGCTGCCGCCCGCAGGTTCCCAGTGCTCCGCCACGGCTGGCTCCTGACCTCAGTAACTTGCCTCCTCTCTCCTGGACTCTATAAAAGGTGGTAAGAAGACTCATTTCCTCCCCACCTCATAGGAAGGCAATCGTTACAAGGGCACTTTGTATCAGATGTGCCTAGATGAGCTTGAACTTTTGGAGGCAAACACTTGGTTTACAACGATGAAGATGGGCTTTCACCACAGAAGGAAACTTCTGGCTGCTGCATTTGGGGGGCTCCCAGTAGGCTGATCCAGAAAGCCTGGTGTCCACCCTGGAGGTGGCTGCTGTGCCCAGCAGGTGACAGGGCTGACAACACCATCAGAACCAAGAACCAGAATCTATTCTCAAAGAACGAACGCTCCATCCCTCTGACACAAAAGCAAGAGCATGAGAGAGCTGTCACCACCATCACCCTGTTCCCAATACAAAGAGCATCCTAAGCCTACGTGGCTAAAAAAGCTAGGAGCAGGGGGCGGGCTGGTCCGAGTGAGTCCTCTATTCCCCAGGCCATACCCCCTAGGTCAGTGCCTACTGTGTTGGGCTGTGTGGCCAGTCCAGTCTGGGTTCCCTTCTGTAAATTCCTGTAGGATCGGAGCCACAGATCACGAAGAAGAAACAGAAACCTTGGCTATCCACAGGGAAGCCAGGACCATCCGCCAGGAGGGTGAGGTTGGGGGAACTACCCAGCCCATCCCTGGAGGAACTCGTTATCCTGAGGAAGGCATTCCAAAAGCCCGGAGCCCCCAAAGCTGGGCACCTCGACAGCAACTCGAGGCTCTGAAGTTCAAGGGTTTCCTAGTGGGCTACTGGTCTGTCTCCCTGCCCTTCTGGGGCAGCCTGTCCTCCTCCCTCAGTCACTCCTGTGTTCCATCAGACAGGCGGGAGGAAGGCTGCAGGGGAGATGGCAGGACCCAGCCAGATCCTCAGGACTCTCCCAGCCTCCGTTGCCATGGCAACGCTGCTATTTTTATCCCGTTGTTCCTGATGCTCAAAGCTCTGACTTTCTCTGTTCCAGAGAGGCCAGGCGGGCTTCTGCCCTCATCCTTCAATGCCGCATCTTCTCCCAGAGGCCTGAGAAGAAAAAAGAGTAATGGAGGAAAGGGGGAACCCACTGGGTCATGCATGCCTCAACCAGGGGAATTGGCGGTGGTTTGCCTCTGCATTTGTGAGCCGTTGGGTTTCGAGCTGGCTTAGGAGCTCTGTTTCGTATTTTCAGGGAGATCAAAACTCCCCATGGTCTCCCTGAGAGGCTGCTCCAGAGGAAAAAGAAAGAGCTGCCGCTCTAGATGAGTTTTTCCTACACGGCTATGACATTGGTCGGGGGTGGGGGGGGGGCGGGGGGTGGTGGCTGCTGCTCCTCTTGGGAAAATCAGACCTGGTTCCAAAGAATGTCCTGTTGGTACAGGCCAACCCCCGGTCCCTTGAAAGGGCCGGAGAGCTAAGTTTGATTAATTAACAATCAGATACACTTACCATCACTGGGAAATCTAAACCGGTACTTCCCTTCGCCTCTGCCCCTCCACCAAAGAACTAAGGCAATTTGACTTCGTGTCTTTGTCCAATCTTTGTGCCCAAAGCAAGTTAGCATACATCCTCCAGGCTGGAAAGCAGATTCCTGGGTTCCTCTCCTTCCTACCCACCCCCACATACAGCCATGTTTCTCTCCAGGCGCTTGAGGTCTTAAATTTTGACAATGCTCTTGAAGTCGGGGTTTGAGGAAAGGATTTCTTAGAGCTGATCATACCCTGTCCCTTTTCCCTGGCCCAGCCTCTGGTCCTCTCCCTATGTCCCCATTTCCACCCCAGTGGTACCCTGAAAGTCAACGGTGCTAACGTTCCCCACCTGTATGTTCTGATCGTCAGTGAGATTTGAACCCAGCAGCTGGGGTGGTTGGGTTGGGGGGACCATTTCATGCACATCCTCGAGACCATGACCCTGGAGACCGGTCCAGGTCTAAACCCAGCAAAGTAGCACTCATACTGTGTTGGACTCCTGTACAGAGGTTCTACCTCAGCTGAACTGACTCCAGGATGGCTAATTTTTCTAGGGTGGCTGGGATGCATTTACTAAGCGTCTAATTGGTTTCATTTTGGCTCAAGTTGCATGGTTTCCTGAATCTATGCACCTGGAGTAAGCACTTTTCTGGTTGCCTCTGAAAAGCATGCCGGCAAATGCTGCTCTGTTAATTGCTGTAATAAACAGACTTTATTATATCCCTTTGCAGTAAATGAATTATGTTGTCAGGGTAGATGGGGCATCCGTGTTTATTTCGCACTGTGATACGTTCCGGCAGCAGAAGCTAAACATTTATTTCTACCGACTCTGCTGGGGAGAGGAGGAAGGTTGGAGACTGGGAGGAAGTCAGGGGCATGGAAGTCAAGTGAGGTGACAGGGCTTAGAAGGAGGCTTGGGGAGACCCACCGAGCCCCTGTTGCTGTGAGCTTCCTATACATCCAGGGCTCCTGCCTCCTGGAATCTCAGAGAAATAGTGGGATCAAGCTGGCTAGAGGAGGTGGGGTGGGGAAACCGGGAAGGTGGTTTAGGATTATAATAGGATCACATAGTCTGAAAAGTGCTTTTATTTTTACAGACAGAATAAAGACCTTTAGTTGGGCTTCTCAGGACTATTGACAGAACAAATGGGAAGTTTCAGATTTACAAGGAGAGCAAAATGCTACCAGATGGCTTCACATTAAGAATAAGAATTATTATATGGTATGTGAGTTATATATCAGTAAAAGTATTTTTTTTTAATAATTCTTTGGGGTGCCTGGCTGGCTTTGTTGGCAGAGGATGTGACTCTTGATCTCGGGGTTGTAAGTCTGAGCCCCACATTGGGTGTAGAGATTACTTAAAAATAAAATCCTAAAAAGAATTCTTATCTCACGACTCCACTTTGATCGGAGGGACAGAGATTCCAAACTATCACTGAAATAAGGGGCCCTGAGAGGGGCTCGGAGAGCTAGAACCAGAAGGTCTAACCCCAAAGCCAGCATCCGATAGGCATGGAGTGGTTTGGGGCAGGATGAGGCTAATCTATAGTTCAGAGCAGTGGATTCGCTGCTCCTGAAAGGGGTGGCCACCCCTTTCCTGGTTCGGCTACCATGCTGCCTAGCACGAAAACACTCAGTAAGTGCTTGTGAAATGGTCTGGGGCAGGCAAGTGCCCCACACCTTTCAGCCTTCAGGAGTCGGCAGGGACGTCTGTCCCTACCCCTTCTGCTGTCAGCACCGTTCCTTACCTCCTTGTGTGGGGAGAGTGTGCCCTGTACTGCTGTCAACTCAAGCCTTTCAATCAAGATCGAGTCCTGACTCAGTGCAAAGTCCCGTGGGAGGAGCTGCAGGAGAAACAGGGACATCAGACATTGCTCTGCTCCTTGAGGAATTCGCAATTTAATAAAAAGCAACAGGCCAAGGCTTGAGGGATGCAAGAAACCTTAGGAAGAGTGTAGCAAAGTGCTTTAAGGCTGCAGGGACCTGAGAGAGCGAAGCTGTTTGGAAAGTGGGGAGGGATCAGGGAAGGCTTCACAGAGGAGGCGAATTTCAGCTGAGCCTTGAAGGATGAAGAGGAAAAAAACCGTTCAAAGCACAGATCCCAGGGACCCTTCTCTCCTTGCCAACAGCTGCAGACATCTGCCCGTAGTCATATGCACAGCCAGAGCCAGCCATGACCTGGCAAGCAAAAGCTATACGTAGCCTCTTCTGTTGCAGGCAAGCCCCGTTGCTCCCAAATGCCTCTCCTCCCCAAGAGTCCGATACCTGAAATTTCATCAGTGCTTCCTCTCTTTTGCTTTAGGCTTTGATCCCCTAGGGTTTGTAATCCAGGAGGGAGGCAAGGACTGGGCAGTCGTCAGGCATTTGCCCCACAGCATCACTGGTACATCAGGCTGGGGACGACCTGGTGGGGAAAAGGGGAACAAAGAAAGGTGTAGCTGGGAGGTCTGACAAGGAACTGCCCCTATCTCACGGCTCTGCCCAGCCAAGCTACGTACGCCCATGCCTGCTTATGCTCCAGACCTCCTCCCTCTTTTTCCCTTCTCCTTCCTTTCTCTTTCCAACTACCTTTTCCTCTACCCTCCTTCCAAGGAGACAGTCAGAAAACCTCTGGCAAAAACCTGGGCTGGCAATCCTAAAGCTCCTGTGTTTTTGTCCTGGCTCCGCTCCAGCTAAGGTGCTTGTTGGTGGTAAGACAGACACGTGTCTTTGTCTGTCTGGACCTCGGTTTCCCTGCTTGTAGGATGGGTGGACCT